AGTATGTAACATTCTTGCGATATATCGATTGCCATTTTTGGCTAAAGTTGCGTTTAATTGTTGTATTTGTGCTTTTAATTTATGATAATAAAAAATATGTATCGATCAAATTAGAATGACGAATGTATATTCAAAGTTATTTAAAAAATATTATACTTATATTTAAAGAAAAAAAAATTTATTTCACATTGATCGTTTTGTTTGTTGCAGTACTAATTATCGTCATTGATACGATATCGTCATTGACGACATAATTGGGGCTGCGTTCCGATATTTACTGAAAATCTATAGTTACGTGTACTATAGATCCATAGATTTTCAGCAGTGAATATCGAAACGCAGCCTGGAAATAATGTGCAGTTTGCTTGTAATCAGTTCTATCGAATGATGAAATTATAGCGTGGTATTGTGATACAAGGAAAGCAAATCACTTTACAGGTAAAATTCCAAATACTTATCATGAACTAAAAATCACTGAGTGTGTGTGCGTGCGTGCGTGTGCCTACATTTCAAAGTTTTTCAATTATCATATTTATTTGTACTGCAAAAAATTTTAGGAAAAGAGAGAGAAGAAGAAGGAAAGGGAGAGGAGGGAAGAGAGAGAAAAAGCGAGAGTTTTCAAACTGTAAAATGCTTTTGCAAATAACTCTTTCTGATCAATTTTGCCAAAGTAAACTCACTTTAAATTTGACTATTTTTCCAAGGTGCGTAAACGTTCTAATTTCCATTGGTAATGTATATTTATATGTAGATACATACTATATTTACATACATATTCGCTCAACGTTTCAATGAAAATAAGATTACAGCATTATAGCATTAAGATCCAATATTTCTTAGTCACTGACGTTTCATGCTGATCTGAGAGAGCACAAAACGTTTCTTGTGAATCATTAATAAGAAAGTCCATTTCCAGTTAAGAAATAGTAGTGCTTTGGCAGTATGCAACGTCAACTAAGTGCCAGATGTAATAAATATCGAGGCGTTTCGCTGGTTCTCATAGAACGAAGGTTGATTATTTCGGCGGAATCGTATACGTTTATTTCACATCTTCCGTGTAATCGTTTCCGTGAAAACACGCATTACTACGTCATAACTCGGTATTATAGTCGAGTAAATTTTCCTCTAACTCCGAATAAATGAAAAATGTACAATAAATATGAATAACAGATATTTAAATAAAAATGTAAAAAATAAAATTTTAATTAATTTAACGAAAAGGATAAAAATTATATAAAATCTCAAATGATTTAATTTAAATTTATTCAAAAAAAAAATATGAATTTTGTGCCATCTCGATTTTAAATTTTCTGAAACGCTTATCAATTAGCATCTATTTCCGTACATAAAAGATACATGTAAACGTGTAACGTTATGTCGTAATGTTATGTCGTAAAATGAGTTGGATGGTAATAACCAAGCTTTAACATCATCGTCTGTCCGAGGGGATAAATTGGAAGTAGTAATTTACGATCTTACGCACACGCTTTGAACCGGAAGAGTAATTTTCGTAGCCCGCATAAGGACGATTAATCTTCTAGGAAATCGAGAAGGCGTAACCGATGCGTAAATCTACATAAGTAGCTATGGACGCTAAGTAGCACGAGTTTTCGTCACGGGTAATTCGTTAAATTTATTTGTTAACGCTTTGTTGTACGTCTCTCGAGCGAAAATAAGGCATAAAGGATGCGTTTCTAAATACCATCAAAAATCCATTTCTGCGTCTATCTTGTGTTCAAAAGTGCCGAGAAGAAAGAGCATTAGCGTTTTTATACTCGTAGCAGCACTTTGATAGTGTGTACGTTTCCATCGTGATGAAAAAAAAACAAGAGGCAAAAACCACATTTTAGTACGCTTCGAGAGTCTCGAGTGGCTCTCCTTGGATCCCCGTTGCTTTACGAGGCGAGTAGAATCCGTCGAATCTCCCGGACGATCGTGAACTTTTCTCCGGGGACCATTCGTCGAAAGCAGAAAAATTCTCAAACGGATATATAAGAAACAGGAAAACACTTCTCAAATGGATTCGCCGAGATCATGATAGTAATCCGATTAAAAAGTGTAATTAAAGTTATTTCAACGAGACGTATTCAATTTCTGCGGAATTATTTGACGTTCGCCGACACAGTAATGACATTTCATATCGGTTTAATAATGGCTTTATTTCATTTGACAAACGTAGCACAACGAGATAAAACGCGCGCGCCCCGGGGCCACCCACCCCGAGGGCACCCATAAATTACGTCGGCAATTCGTAACAATTACGTCTCTCTCTCATATTCTATTATTTATGCCTAGGAAGGGCTACCGTGAGCCTCATCCGCCGTCATAGGGATGCTGGATATCGATCCCTGCCTTTTCTCGGCCGCTTATCGCTCATTACGAAACGCACGTGCGTACAACCGCATTCAACGTTTATCGGGCGGCGAAAGGGATCATTTGGGGCTTTAGGGGTAGCTGGAACAGAATCGAATGAAAGGACGCACGACACCGCCTGGCTAACATCATGGACAAATAGATGCACTGCTCGATGCAGCGATAGACATCGAGACGAATGATGTTCGAATCCTGTCAATGAATCGTGAGATAAACGTCACGTGGCGGATACTCGCGATAGCAGGCGGCGTGAACCATTAATTGAAATTTAAATGAATATCGGTGCGTAACATTGATAAAGAACTAATAAAGTATCGTATTAGATATATATCGTATTAGATATATATCAAATTGTGACTATATTATACAGAGAATGATTCATTTTAATCTTAACAGGCAAATATTTCGAAAACAGGTAATTTATTTTATCAATAAATATTCCAAATAAAAGCTGTATGGTATAAGAGAGGGACGTCATCATTTAATGTTTCCTATATCATACAATTTTTTACTTAGAATGTTTTTTGATAAAATTACATATCATCGAGATTTGTTTGTTAAGATTAAAATAAACCCGATATATATCACCCGATATATATCATTAAATATTATCAATTGCGATATTTATGTGTCTTGTACAAATTTTTCCAGAGAGATAAACTAAATTAAATCATACGTCACTAATTGGCTATCGTATCGTTATCTTGGTTTATCAGAGCGTATTTAGTTCCTACGTCAATTTTTCTAATAACGAGTGATATTTTTGCTCTTTTCCAAGTAATAGATTTTTTTATAAATAAAAAAATAATCATCATTTGTTGATGAAAATGATTATTTGCTAAGACACATAAGTGGACGGAAGATATAGATGAAATTCTCGAGTCTTTCAAAGCGTGCATCCATTGCGCCGCACTCGCGTTCACTTCATCTGCATATAAACAAATCTATGATGGGGTGAGAAGAAAAATTTGTTCGGTTAAATAAACTGCGGTCCGCCAAAAAAAATAATGTTAAAATCACCGTTAAAGTGAAAACCTCTATTTCCGTCGCAGCAACGAAACAATCTTTTCGTTTATTGAATTAACAGTATAAATATTTATTCTACAACAATTATCACTGTTATTTTGGAAATTTATTTAGCCTCTTTTTGCGAAAGTTGTAGTGGGAACACGAAAATATATGAAAATTTGTGTCATCAATGCCAATAATATCTTAATCCACGAATCATTTAACACTATATCAGAATAATTATATTAGAATAATTATAGAAAATATTTTAAAATTATAATAACCATATTAGAATAATTATATTAGAATAATAATATTAGGAACACCATATTAGAATAATTATAGAAAAAGTTTCAAGATGATAATTTCAAAAACGCATCTGAAAGTTTCATTCTTTCTCTGTTAAGATGTCAAATTACTTCTTTAATGATTACACATATGTCATATTTCCAAAATAATGACACAATTACGAAAACAATGCAGATTATTTTACATCATATTTAAAAGTAATTTGCAAAAAGTCATTTAGTAGTTTACAAAAAATTAATTAGTTGTTACAAAAAATTTAGACTGGATCAACAATTATTTCAATAAGAAGTAGTATTTTTTTAATTATGGAAATATATATACAGAAACTTATTAAAAAATATGTAGTAAAGTCTCAATTTTTTAATGTAAGTACTTTAAATATTCAAATTAGTTTATATATATATATATATATATATGTGATCTTCAATTTTTCTGATTGAAATACAATAGAACATATCTGAAAAAAAAAAAAGATTTTACTAGAATGAGAGTCTAGTTAAATATATAAACCTGAAACTAATTTTGTTGGACATAAAAACAAATGTGTGAAAAATTCAAGCATGAGTAGTCCTGCAAAAATTTTTAATATCTTAGCAATCAGCTTGAACATTTTACATAATTATTTTAATAGGTCAACAAAAATATTTTCAAATATCTAGTTCAATTTTTCGATACTTTAGCAAAACTACTCTTTCTCCATGTAGCAGCTTGTTATTTCCGATATATTAACATAGATAATTATCGTTTCATTAACGACATATTATGCGTTGGCGATTACGCAATTTGCAGCAGTTTTCCGGGTAATCACTTACAGGGCATTGAGCCCAAGGCAGAGGCAGGCCTGACAGGCCAGCCGGCGAAAAGTGCTCCTCACGTGCTACGTCGCGCATATTTACGCGGGTGTGTACGCCGATTAGATGAAAGAAGATAGAGAGAGACAGAGAGAGGAGGGTTGAAGTTGCGTGGCATCCAGCGAGGGAGAGAGCTCGGAAGGAACGACGCCGATGGGAATCCAGAAATAGAGAGGCTGCGAACCGAAGCGCCAAGGCTAGAAAATTTTACAGGCGCCGTAAAACCGTGCGGCCCTGCGTGCCGCGCGTGAACGCGGTCGCCATGCCGCTACTACTTGTTTCGCAACGACGAAATTTGAACGGAAGCGAGAGAGTGCGTTGGAGAGAAGCGTGCATTTTATTTATAGGAAGTTTACGCTGGCGGAAACGAGCGCGCGAATGTTCGCGAGAGCGATTGCGAGGCGCTAGGGACAACGTGAAAATTCTCGTTTCTCGCGGGCGTTTCTGCTTGGCAAAACTTGCGATGCAAATGCGCCTAGCAAATTCGCCTAATGAGCCTAAGCCGTGGTGAGTAATGGTAGCGACAATAATAGCGACGGGGACGCGTTAGTAGTAATAATAATAGTCACTCCGCACCGCGAGATGCGTTTGCTAAGTTTGGGTACACATTTGTGAACTATATGTACTTGGAAAGTAGTTAAATTGAAATTAAGGATTTGTCTCATTTTAGTGGAAACCATAATCGGAGTAAACATCGAATTTACTCCGAGAGATTGCGAGATATTTTCAAGTTGCAGGAACAAAATATACCAGTGACAAACAGGAATTTGTGGCACTGTAGAGGATATGACGCGCTCGAAGAAATAGGATACTTTTGATAAACAATCTAATAAAAGACGTAGTGTATATAATTTCAAATTACAGAAAGAGGTAAGAGATATAATTATGAAAAATATTACTTTAGAGAGAATATACCATTAAAAAACGATTTTTTTGCTGAAGCATTTAAAAATGTAATTTTAAATTCACACCGAATTATTTAAACATTAAAGATCCAGCTGGCCCGTTTAGGGCCTTCATTTCCTATTTGTTGCATTAAAAAATTTTTAGCCAAATATATAATTTTGTTGAACCATCAAAATAATTACACAGGAAATTCAAGCATAATGAGCAATGCTGAAAAAAAATTTTAACATTTTACCAACCAGTTTGTGTATGCCCTAATAATAATTATTTTAATGGTTCAACAAAATTATTTTTTCAGATCTGTATCTATAACTAAATTTTTAGATGCTTCCGCAAAACTATCATTTCCATGTATTTATTCCATTGGGAATTAGTGTTTTAATGTAAGTAATTTGCTGTCTGTGATTCAAGAATCTTATTTACAGGAATTATTTTTAGAGAGCAAACATTAGAGACCTGATCCTGGCAGAAAACATGAAATACTTTTAACCAACTGAAAATATGTTTATAAAGATCCCGCGTCTCCGGAATGCACATTCGTCGATCGAAAGGCCAACGTCGCAGTTCTACGTTTATTTGAGAATTTTGTTTTCGAAAGTCACTCTTTCTCTCGGAGAGCAAACACCAGGCTGGATCCTGCGGCGGAGGATCTCAGAATGCTTTCCCCGCTACAAAAGCAAAACAGAAAGTGCGCGAGCGCGGTTGGTGAACACTGAACACGCGTGACAGGCAGGAAATCATGGCACGCGTGAAAACGTTGCCCCGAGTGCAACAATAGGGTCCCTGGGCAAACAAGCAGAATTCGATGTATCGTGGCGCCGACAACACGACGCGACGCTTCGAAATATGCTCGGTTCTTTCAGAACACATTCCTGACCCTCGCTTGCTCCGAAACTCAATGGTCTCTGCTCCACCCTCTGGGCTAGCTCGAGATTGCTGTAGCTGCGTTTCCAACCCCTCCGGCCGGCCGGCCGGCTCGGCCAGCATCGCGTAATCGTCCGTACGATGACACGCCAGAAACCCACCCCTATACATTTATTCCAGCGCACCAAACTCGGCACTCGGGGTTGCCTTTTCCGTGGCGGAAGGATCGGGAAGGAGACGCGCGGCGGAGCGGAACGCACGCGTGTGCGTGTGCGTGTACGCGCGAACGCACACGAGGTATTCGGTATAGCGTACTTTTCCAATGGGGGATTGTAACCGGCAGAATTTCGGCGTGATTCAATTCACGATACTGTGGATATACATGGTCTACGGAGACAGTAAACATAATGTTTTGCATTGACTGTCTAGCGCTGTCGTTGAAAATGATCAAACACATAGATCGTTTTCAATTGTCTGAAGCAATGAAATTTGAATCCGGCGGAATTACGCAGAATTCACTAATTAATCGAATCATGAATTGAGAGGAACTCAATGGAATTCGATATATCTAGCTTCAGGCAAAATCTGTATTATGTACCGTCCATTTGCCTGAAAAATGTATATCCCAAATAAAGTTGTTAACCTTAGTTCTCTATTATAGATTGTAACCAATTAAAACAAAATTATCAAAAAACCATAAATGCTATAGATAAAATCATTATGCACCGTTATTCACCTGGAAAATGGACGTTTAAAGTTATTAATTCTCAATTATACGTTGCAATTAACACGAACAAAATTATCAAAAATCATAAACGCTACAGATAAAATCTATATTATGCACTCATTTTCTTGGACATTTAAAATGGATATTTAAAATTGTTATTTTTATAGTTCTCTGTTAAACATTGAAATCAATTTAGATAAAAAACTATAAATACGTAAAATTATTATATACCGTCATTTATCTGGAAAATGGACTTGTTAAATAAAATTGTTAATTTCCTATTATACGTTTTTATTAAAACGAATAAAATTATTAAAAGATTATAAATGTTACAGATAAAATCTATATTCTCTACTGTCATTTACCTGGAAAATGGATATCTCAAATAAAATTGTTACCCTTAATTCATTATTATACGTTATAATACGAATAAAATTATCAAAAAAATATAAATGCTACGAATAAAATCTATATTCTCTACTGCCATTCACCTGGATATCTGGATATCTCAAATAAAGTTGTACTTTTAGTTCTCTATTATACGTTATAATACGAACAAAATTATATTAATTAAAAGCTACGAATAAAATCTATATTCTGTACTGTCATTCATTACTGGAAAATGATATCTCAAATAAAATTATTACCATTAGTTCTCTATTATACGATATAATACGAATAAAATGATCAAAAAGCTGTAAATGCTGTAAATAAAATCTAATTATATATCGTTATTCGCCTGGAAAATAGATATTTCAAATAAAGTTGTTATTCTTAGTTTTCTATTACACTATAACTTATAACTTATAATACGAACAAAATTATCGAAAATTATAAATACTAAGGTTAAATTAATGCTGCAAAGGTTGTGTTTTGTACTCAAATTTATTTTCTCCATTATTCGAGCCAAATATAAACTATTTTTCGGACCTTATAAACTATTTTTAGAGAAGAAATCTCTCTCAGAGATAAGTGTAAAATCTCTTTAAGTACTCTCTTTTTAATTCTTGGCTTTAATTTCAATAAACATTATTAAAGTATGCCTACATTGCGCGTAAAAATAGAGATACAGTTTGCAATATCAAATTCCTGGAATTCGATCTATAATTTGCGAAACTGAAGAAAATGGAATTCTGTTTCTAATTTTATCTGCGATATGTAATACAGGAAATATTTGAAAAATTGAAAACATTTAAAAAATACGACACGAAATTATAAATTTTGCTATAAATTTTATTACGAATTATAAATAGACCATGGTAAAGAATTAAAGCTGTACATGTTCAGTACACTTTATAAAAACCAACAAAATTTAACAGTCTTCGTGTAACAAGCAGAGCAAGCGTTACGCTTTACATCCTTGTATTATTCACTGCGGTATTTGCATGCGTTACTTAGACTCTTATTTAGCATTACTCCCACGTCCACGCAAATGCACCTATGCACCGGATCCGTCGTGTGTGAGGGCGCAATTCACTCGTATGCGCCTCGCAACCGCGTGTTCGGGCCGAAGGCGCGCGTGTGCGGATCTACGCGTGTAGGTGCGTGCCCGCGTTTCAGACGTGCGTGGAGAGTGGAGTATTAGTGCGTGTGCCGCGCGCGAGAAGGGCGAGGGTGTCTCGAGTAGGGGAAACTAAACGCGTGTCTTCGGTTTTGGTTTTAGTTTCGTGGCAGTCGTTGCCGACGACGACGCCGACGACGACGATAGCACGATACGACGACGACGACGACGACGACGACGACGACGACGACGTCGATCCTGCCTAGCGGTACCGATCTCGCCGACGCGAAAACACGACGCGTCTTTTATCACGCCGGTATCATTTCTCCGATTAAATCGACGTCGCGCGCGCGCGCGCCTAAGTGAACAAGTGACACCCTCTGCATCTTCGTAGGTACCAGCTGCAAGTGCGGATGAAACTAAATCCAAAAGTACGTGTCTCCAGTATCGCCGATTACATCTCTGTGTATTATCCCCCGAGAGACAAAGATTTATTCGAGTCGGAGTACCACACATGTTCCCGTTCTCCCCCATCTGAAACACTCGAATAGAATTTACGCGGTTCATTCTTGTGACGCGAGATTTAAATCTCCTTCAATCTATCACGAGTGGTACCGATAAACTGTACGTATCTTTCCTCTCCTCAAGCTGTTTTATAAGTATCCAGTTCTTCGCAAGTGCTATTGTGAAGCTCCAGCTGATAAAACAAATGATCTCTTTGAAAGACTGAAGTGTTAATTATTGGCCAATCCTCTCCTTGGAGAACTTGAAGAAATACTGACTTTATTAGTCAAAAGCTTCCCTCTCAGGAAGAACCTGGAGAATTTCTCTTTTAATCTAAATCTCATTCTCAATTTATTTTCATTCAGTTTAAAAGATTCCATTGAGAATCGATATACCTATATTTTATAAAGGTGTTCGATTTCAAGTAACTTCACGTTAAATTCAAGACATCGACAGTGAAATAGACGACAGGATACAGACGATAATCACTGACGTTGCTAATAAAGAAGCGTGAAAGTGACGTGCGATAGTGCCACCTGACCGCGTCTCTAAATTAAACCGCGCGGCGTGCAAAAGGAGGACCACCTACCAAGAATAACATCAGGAGAGAAGTATGGGGGACCAGTGGTAAAAAAGGGCGCACGAAAGGCACGCGCCCGAAACACAGGATCAAAGTTGAAATTCTTCGAGAGGGTGGCGAAGGAGGAGAAGAAGGAGAAGAAGGAAGACCGTATGGTCGGAGGAAGTCAAAGCGGACGAAGAGGACGACGACCAGATCGAATGCCGTGAGGTGAGAATTTCGACGGGAAGAAACGAGCGTGCGGAAAGAAGAGGACACAAAGGAAGCGAGAAAAACGCCGACTGGTTTTGTTAATCAAAAGATTTCGAGACACGCGTTCAGCCTAATAACGAGCGAGGGGAGGAGGAAAGGCAGGCGTGAAAGGACTTGTCGGAGGACCTCCGGTTGTGAATTGTGTCGCTGGCGCCTATGCTTTTTGTACTCCCGATTGAATAGGATTGACAAAGAATAAGGGTCCGCCCTTGAATAAATGAATGAGTATTATTGAACTACCGTTGAATGCAAATATATTTGCGAGAGATTGGAAGCTTTAAGAAGAGAAACTTAAAAAAGTTTTTCGCGTGAAAATTAAACGTTTGCAGCTTTGAAAGAATACAGAGAAAGTACAGGGACTTTTTATAATTTCAATTATTATTTTGAAGTGGGTATCACAGCGATAAAAAAAAGTTGTGATTCAGATCGTAGATCGTGTGGTAACGATAAATAACAAAAAATAATTATTATTTATTATATTTAAATATATAATACCAGTTATATATAAGACTACTTAAGTGCAACGTTAAGTTAGTGTTGAAAACAATCAAAACGCGAGGACGTCGAGAATGCCTGGATTTTCCGAGTCCTTCGAATGGTCGCGATCGATCGAGGAAGCGGCGCGATCGAAATTTTTCTCGGATCCGCGACTATCTCGCGAGAAAGACTGTCGCTGAATCAACCCTGCCCTTATTTGAAAAATAAATTCGATCGATCAAGAATCGAATGCAGCTCTTCGTGACAGGAGAGCGGATTCGACGTGTTGAGTGCAGTCATCGTGACATCTGAGCCTCGATACAAGACGATATCGAAATGCGCTGTGCGTCAGGATACGTATTTCTGACGAGTTTGTTGATGGTGCTAAGGACTCGCCGAATGGGCGCGGCTGCGGAGGAGTCGGAATTTCAGAACAAAGGTACGTGCCAAGGATCGAGTTTTCTTATCTCGAAATGATATCTGTCAAGTTTTCTCTAACATGCCACATTAAACATTTTTTTAAATATTAAAAATTTGTTCCTGGATTGCGCTAAAAATCGATACTTGAAATACCCTACAAAATTGTGTCTATTTTTAACCGTCAATCTTCATCTTCGGTATACGACGAAGGTATGCAAGCGCCTTAGCCCTCCTTGTTGCTTGAAACTGTCAGAAGATTGACATCTAATTAACGGGTCAGATCCGTCAGCGAGGCTATTAACGTGCTATTCGCTTGAAGTTCTACGCGCCCTCCAAATTTACATTTAGCTATATTTACACGTTTACTAATTAACTTGCATTGACATTATGCGGGGGTGAAATGTGATTTTCGGTAAATTCCTTTATATACTAAAATTTCCGATTACGCCATTTGATATTCTTATATTTTATCTGTTGAGAAAGAGCGAGCGAGCGAGTGAGAGAGAGAGAGAGAGAGAGAAAAGCAAAGTAAATAAATCAACATAAAAATTTTGTATATTTCAATAAAATAATTCTATTACTTATAACGATTAGTTTATAGTAATTAATAATTTGTATTTCAAAAATAAAAAAAGAGAGAAAAATAAATATTTAATACAAAATAAATAATAGCCTTTATTATTTAAAAAATATTAAAAAGAGAGTATCGAGTAAGAACTGATGATTCTGGATTATTTTGACAAAACTTGTGAGGTGTAGCATTTTTCCATCATCAAATCCAACCGGAAGGATTTAAATAAACCCGCAGACCCGCATGCGACCTAGTGACGTTTTAGCGTTCGTAAAATTCAATCAAGGCTCAATTTATTATTAAATTCAATCACTAGCACATTTACAATCCTACACGGTGCGTTGTTTCCTGTTTATATCATTGCGATACAACATTTCAATTTGCACTGGGAAGGAAGCAGATAAAACATTGTATTCGCTATCGCAAAAAATGTCATATATAAATAATTTAATTAATCTTGTCGTGAGGAAGAATCAAGCGAGTGCGGTAATAGCTATGACACGACGGACAAGTAGACAAAAATTGGAACTGCTGTCTGAAATAGACGTCGCCAGTTTAATTTGGCGAGACTGTCGACGCTAGTATGCCAAAATAATTACGTTATTAATCTCCGAGTTGCATACACTCTCGGAAAATCGCGACGTAAAAAAACATTACGCATAATCCGGAAGAGTCCATCTCATCACTTATAAAACGTGTTATAAGTGAGATTAAATTTGTGGATTTTGTGATTACGACGCAGTCAATAACATTCGTCTAGGTAATTCCTGTAGATATTTAATAATTATAATAATATATTTTTTCTTATATTTAATACACGTATTCAAGAATAATCTAATCATAAATTAGAGAATCTACTTTATAAGTTCAGGGAAAAAATTTAAACATTAAATTATTTAATTTAACAGACTATAATTGACTGTCTATACGTAAGAAACTATTATATTTATCCTACGAGTTTTTTATTTTTATCCTTTTGTTTTATCTATAAATAGTAAAAATTAGGTAAAATTGATAAATTTTAATGGTAAAAGAATAAAAAATATACTTTCATATTTTTACTGTCTCCGACTATCATAAAGAGTTGAAAAGAATTAAGATTATAATTCTTTTCAACTCTCTATGATAGTCGGAGACGGTAAAATTTTGATGTCTTAAAAACTTTATAAATAAAAAACCTAAACAAATTTTTTAAAATCTTTTATATCTTTCAATCTCTTTGAAGATGGCGATACAAATTTTAGACATAAAAGTCTTTGTAACAATAAATCTTTATAAAACATATAAAGAAATGAAAGAAAACTTTTAATCTTAATAATAATTAATTTTGTCTTTCATTTCTTTTTATTCTATTCTATTCTTTTATTCTATTGAATTCACAATTTATTTTAATATAGATTACTTAAATAATAATTTATTGATTTATTTTATTCAAAAGATAAACAAAATCATTTATTAATTAAATATTATTTGTAAGAAAAGGACAGGAATCATTTATAATTTATCATTATTTTAAATCTTCGTATCTTTTTTTTTAAATATTCCATCGACTAGATTTTCGGAAATAATAATTTTTTCCATAATATAAATTGCGGTCTAAAAATTTTAATTAGGAGTTAACTAGGAGTCAAAAATTTAATATAGAAAAACGTGTAAGACTCTTCTGGAACTAATGAATTAGATATATAAGTTCAAAGTATCACAAACAAGGTATAACATTAGAAAATTTAGATATTTTAACCCTCGACTACAGATATGGATTTTTTAATTAACTAAACGCGCGAAAAGAATATCAAGGAAAATTTTAAATAATAAAGAATAATAACGACTGACGCTAATGCTCTCCTAACTCTAATTGCATGAAGATATACTAATGCAAGAGGAAAAGTACCAAACCGCAGCGTGTTAAACACAAATGGGTGGAACAATGCTAGAGCAACCGCGACCGTTAAGATAAAATAACCGCGATTTATCTACCCGCGAATTATATCCGCGAATCGATAACGCGTGTGACAGGATCCTGCCACGTGAAAAATAGTTGATCGAAAGGAAATGCCATAAGTGCGAATTGGCGAATGGAATTTTTCCGTTGATGATTCCTCTCATTGGTGATCTCTAACTAATGGAAATTAAGTGCTATTACTAGAGAGAATAAAAAAAAGAAGATAACGATTCCTTTCGAATCTCATGCGGGAATGCGAGAACTTGGATCATTTCGATTTTGCGTCGAAAGAATTCGCGCGATTTATTTTCAGCATGTGGAAAGAAACCTTTGGCTCTATCACTGAAGTGTGATCATTTATATAGAATATACAACTGAAGGAATCATTGTAAATTGTGAATTGACGTTGCCAACAAACATAACGTATTCATAAATTTTGAAATGCAGTAGCAACAGCGAGAGACGTGAAAATGTATCATTCCATCTAATATATTATTGAAAATATAGCTAAATATATAACAGAAATACATGTATATGCCTAAACTCGAGGATGAAGCTTGATAGTTTTATAATATTGGTCGTTTGATCGTTTAATCATTTACTTGTATGAAAAATGATGAAATCTCAACATTTATCATTCTCACGTAGGTATCGCAAGAAACTTTACATGTTTGTCTAACAGTAAAAGTCATGTGGAACGGCCCATTGCGAAAGCAACACTTTCGGCAGAATGAAAACACATAAACCATTGCAATGTGCTTTTCGTGCTCAGATCACCCTTGCATCGTTACATCTCAACAACTCTCTCGATACAATACATGCTAATCTCCTGATTACAAGTCCAATTTACATCTTATCTATAAGATAAGATATGCATGAAAAATCAACGAACAGTTTTTACATGAAAGAAATATCAGGTCGTAAAATAATATTAAAATTTGCTCCAAAGAAAAAATATTCTAAAAAACACAAGAATAAAAAATATATAATAACATTTCTGTCTTCCTTACTCTCTAAAACTTAAATTTCATTCTTAAGATTAAAAATTAATTCTTTTTCAAGATTGGTTCAATTTTCGCTTTTTAGAGTCAGAGTCCACTTCAAAGAATTTAGAAAGTATATTTCTCCTTGTTATTTAACTTTGTAATTTTGTAACTTTGTTATGTTGTGCACTGCAATGAAACTTAAAGATTTATCTTGTATTGTTTTACAATTAATTAAAATATCAAAATTAATAACTAATTACTACAAGAGGACGAATGAGTTTAATTTCACGAAATTTTAAGTATAATATAAATTTTACATCTTCAATGTGTTGGTAAATGCATTTAATTAGTGCGCATTACTAACTTGTTGCAAACATCAGAAATAAAGTAGAATAAAATAATTCCTCATTAAATGGAAACTGACCTTCGCAGTCATTCCACAGAGATATTCGCGATATAATTATACGTTATTTTCTAATTGAAAGAATAATTAGTCAGCGTAAATTGCGTTTTACAAATATTTTACAGTATGATACACCGCCGCTATTCCATTATATTATACTTATAGTCGCGCAGTCTTTATTGATTCGAGTAATCGTTGATTCATCAAACAAGATCCGTATTATAATTAATTGCAGCGCATTTTGACATTTGTCCAACCGCTTACTGATCCTAAACCCGCTGTTGTGCGTGACACATGTCGCCAGCGTCACGGACGAGTATGTGACTGATTATATGTATGAAAATTATATAGAAGATAGGGATTATATACAGATACATCAAATATGTACACAATATCATTGAAATAGTTAATACCTTAAATCTATTATTTGTTAATATCCAACTAATATCGAAATAATTAGCAATTTCATGTTGATCAAAACGGATTATTTCTTGTATATATAATATAACTGGAATTACGAGAGGATTTTTATTTTTAAACTGATACAGTTAAATCTACAAGATTGAACGATTAATTCTATAAAATTATTCATGAATTTAGTTATAATGAAATGCTAAATTGTTATACGTGTGTATTTTGTGAAAGATAAAATCACATTTTGTTATCGTTCCGACACTGATCGCGAAACATTACGTCGTCAATGTTTAAACTCAAGGGTCGAACGATAAAATAGCGAGGTGAAACATAGAGAAAGGGTTGCTCTTTGAAAGAGGAACAGGTTTGACTAATGTAACGAGGAAACCACGCGGGATACGTAGGTCAGAGCATTGGTGAAATTATCATACAAAGTGGTCAAAGCTATCTCGATGTACTCTCCTTTTCCATCCCTCGGGCGATCCTTGGGATGGACAGCTCGCAGGGTGGTCGAATAAGGAACAGAAGGTGGTCGACCGAGAATATCGACATAATTGTCGGGTTGCGTGTGGCTCGTTATTTGGAAATAGATCCGGATAATTTAGATAGGTGGCCACATGTTCTTCGTAAATAATTACTGAACATCGAGATGAGATATATTGCCTATTTCTCAAACAAGAATTCCTAGTAATTTCGGCCTTCATAACTCTTCAGACTTAAATTCGATATATTAAGCTTTCACATCGGTTAATATTACTACTATTAATCATTTTATATTTTGAATAAAATTTTTATTTTTACATGCATAAAGTTTGCCTTCAATTTATCATACAATTTTCATATATAATAACAAAGTTAATATATATCAATATTATTTTTAAAAATTACTAGTAATATTATTACTTTTAGTAATTCATGAATTGATTCACTATATGTGCCATATTTTTACTTAAATCTTTTATTTTAAATATCTATTCTATATAAATAACGAAGAATCAAGTTTTTATGTAAATTTCACACTTTTTCGTACGTTATTTTTTTAGAATCAATTATCTTCTTTTTAAGATGAAAAAATTTCATTGCATAATAAACATGACCGCGAATTCGATTCGCGAATAGATGTACGATCGAGTGAAAGGAAGGGCAAGGAAAGAGGCCAGGCTATGACCCGCACGGAAATAGACGCGAGTCGCCGGAAACGCGATTTCCCAACGAACACACGATACAAAAATAGCGAAGTTATCCCTCTCTCGGCCGACTATTATTTACATAACCACCCGATGCGCGAGCATCTTTTTTCCGATCCGAAGATTCTTCTGGAAGAGAAAAAAGAAAGAGAAGATATCTCTGTTTCTTACGTTAAAACAAAAACAAAAAAAAAAGAAAAAGAACAAGAGGAACGTGTGCAGCGATCCACTTCGGGGTCCGTGAACTGTATTTACTGTTCATTTTTTCCTCGCGTGGAAGACAGGTGGATGCAGTAACGGAATGGCCAACCGCTTAAAAACAACAGATCTACCCTTTTCAACCACAAGCTCTTATGTTTTTTTTTTCATGAGATTGAAAATGGAAGAAATACATATCATGTCATAAAGAGAGGAATGAAAGAGAGAATAATCGTTTTTGTTTCAAAGGGGATGCGAAGCAATGATAAAATGATAATAAAAACGATGGATTATGCCATAAAGAATTTTCATTTAGTTTATTATTTCAAGATATAGATTGTTGTGTATGTGAATTGATATATTCTTAAAAATAAAAATAATAGGAAAAACAAGTGTTAAAAAATTTCCCAATTATTGTTTGCAATTCCTTGCACTTTTTGCATCGAATGCATAAAAAAAGGAATGTGATAAAAGGTATATATGTAACATTTTTCAAATCTTTTCAAGTTAATGTAATAAAATTATGTAATAATCTAAAGTTTCAAGATTCCGTCTTGAACGCCTCAACAGGTGCAAATGCGCCGCTGAGTGTATGGCAAGAATGCCTAACCGCCAATGTAAAACTCGACAGGGCGGTTAGTCGCAACCCTCTCATCGGGTTCTTAAAGGCTCGTTGAGAGCGATGAAACATGTAGCGGCGTACTAATGAAGCAGTTCCTCGCGAGCGACATCGTCGTTTATACGCTCGCATAGCCACGTGCATGATGTTATGCACAGAAGAGATGCATCCGCTTTGCTAAACTCAGTCCGGTTTTACAGGAATAAGTAATGACATGAAAATTTATGTTACTTTTAATATAAATAAGCGAAGAAAGTCATATTCAGTCAAAGCGGATCTTGGTTCTTAATATTTTTGAGTAACTCTTACAATTTCCAGTTTAAGTAAATTATCTCACTGATTATTTATCAGTCTTGAAACAGTTTTAAAGTGAAGCTGCATTGAGAAAAATGTCTGATTGGAAAATGGACAAATTATCAATCAGAATTCCGGTTATCTCAACTAGAATTTTAATAAATTTAACCAGAAAATTTTCTAGTAGATTTAACAAAAAGATTTCTGATTAAATCTACTAAAATTCTAATTGAGATAACCGGAATTCTGATTGATCATTGATATAATCAGAATCTAATCAGAATATAATCATCTTCTGCTTTGCCCATTTTCAATCAAATTATTTTTTCAGTGTGGAGTAATATTACAAATTAAATTGACAAGCAATTTAATAATACTGATGCTAATAAGTTCGAAGCGAATATGACTTTCTTCGCTTATTTGTGTTGGATATGAATTTTCATACTATTGTTTATGTAAATGTAACTTTTGTTCCTTATTATCTTTCTCCTCTATATCTTCTATAGGATAATTTGTACTTGAAGAATCTTTTCATTCACGTATGTTCAACGTATTGTCATCGTAATACGCACCACAAGTCTATTGAGTTCTGTCAAAGACAAAAAAAATGGGAACTCGATAAAATACCCAACGAGAGACGTCTCAAGATGTGTGTTCACAATGGAAGAGTTATCAATGGCATACCGCAATGTGCATTAACAGCAGCGCGCCTCGTGCACGTGCGACGACGGCTGTCCGGCCGGCCGTCGGCTTACGTTATATCGTTTCTATTTTCTGCACTAGTACTTCATAACGGTGTGTGGCGAATCTAAGTTTAAATCCCACGCTGAGGGCCGCGTAAAATCATGGACAATGGTGCATCGAACTGATGTCCACTGTCGCGGTTGCAATTGTGCGATAAACTAGCAGAGTTGCGAGGGAAACGATTGTGTTATGTAAAGAAGCCTGAAGACAACAGACCAAGAGTATTCTTAGTCGTATCTAAATCTCAATTTGTTTACTCTGAAATATATCAATTTAAAAATTCCAAAATTTTTGCAATTAATAATTAGAAAAATTCGTGTATATTATTAGGTGTTGGAATTAATTCGTAGCGTTTTTAATGAAAGAATGTTATTTATTTCACATGAGCATTAAAAAATACATTAATGAAAGTACTTCCCATCACTTGTAAAACGCTACGAATTAATTCCAACACCTAATAAATAATATTTAGATGTTACATATATAGATGCGTATATAAAATTTAATATGCTCATATTTGTAAAATATTGTAGGTAGAATTTAACTTTTTGTTTATTTAAAAATAACATGAACTTATTAGAAATTATAAATTAGAATTTCGAAACAACATTAGGATAGTATTTTCAGGAGTATTTTCCTTCGATTTTTGCTAAATACATTTGTACGATAATTTATATAGTCGTTGATTCGTGTAGTCTTCTGACAGCCGTTGAAGGATATAATCGCATAAAACATATGATTCATATATCACGGGAAAGATTTGTATCTCGAGTTTTTAAATAGGTCGATGCACGATGGTTATTGATCATAATTTTGAACGAACAGAATATTCCAACTTTCTACTTTCTAAATCTCTTGGTATTAAATCTCTTAGATTTCGTAGAATCAAGTGCTAAAATTGTGATAAAAGTTTAAAATAAGAAGAAAAATATCGCAGATGGAAAGTATGCAATTTTTCCTCTTTCAGTGCCCGTGAGATTAGTCTGGGCCACCGAAGGCGATGATGTGGAACTGCCATGCGACATCACATCACCGATGCCGGAGGATTCGGTTAACATGGTTCTCTGGTTCAAGGACAATGCTGGAATACCGCTCTACAGGCAAGTTTTGTACTTTAAAAATAATCCTACCCCGATCCGACTATTTTTACGTGGCGCTAAAGCCACGAAGCTAGGATATCAACCTATCTGAGTTTAACTCTGCGAAAGATGTCGCCATTAATTTCACAAATCATAACCAAGCTACGAATCACGCCAGAAAAATTAGAAGAAAGAAACGTAGAGATCTGTGGAAAGCCTACGTTCACAAATTTATATGCGGATCAGAATACATTTCTTAAAAACGTAGCAGAAACGATATTTTTTTTTCTCTGAGTGTGCGGTCCAAAAGCTTAAAAATATTCTTGCTGTCAATTTCCTGTTTTCTAAGAATCCACGAGAACGGATTCACGTGGCTGACTTTCTGCCGAATGCCGGCTAGCTCCGCGTTATTGGGGGATGAGATGCCATTGTTCTGAAGTCGCATCTCGAAATATCCCGGCACTAGGCTAGCTCCGAGCATGAACTCTCATTATGGACACCTCCGACGTGCTCTGCTCGCGACATATAAATATCACGGTTCATTAACTGTCTATGTAACTAAGCGCAGCCTATATTTCAATGCTGAAAATTATTTTTAGGTATATATAAAATTAGATGAAAATTTTATATTAAAAACGACGATTAGTCTTAATTATGACATATTTAAAATAATTACAATCACCAAATTTAAAACTCTTATAGCTTGTAAATATTGATATAAAATTTTTGTAAGATACGTATATTAATGTTTTATATATAATTATGATATAATTATGAATTTGGACCGATGAGAATAAATTTAATTAAATTAGAGGAATTCTATAGTCGGTCAAAGCGAATCTAATTCTTAAATATTTCCATATGAATATGTATCTAATTCTGTAAATTTTATGCCGGTCTTTCTTAATCTTGAAACGAAACCATAAGAGTTATATCATTTATTAAATTGATGTCAATTTAACAATTTTTGATACTAAATAAGCATCTTTATAATTTAGAAAAATATTAATAATGTAAAGATAATGAGAATCGTAAATTTATAATACATAAAATATTGTTTAATATATATATGATATGTATATATATGATATTTGTATTAACATACAAATATATGTTAATATATTCGTATTTGTTCAATATTAATTTTTAACATAATACATTAAAAATAAAATAAATAAATTTTAATTTTTAAATCGAGGTGTGTACGATTTTTAAGGAATGTTTCGAAAATCATCATTTGCCATCGTGGCATATCTACTTTATTCAAAGATTCATCGCGTGCACGATTATAGAAATGGATGCGTTACGTATTGGTGCGTATACGAGGAAATTCAAGTTAAGCTAGATCAGGACTGTATAAATAATTCGACCGAATTTCCACGATCGGAAGTGTGGGATGATGGAATTTCATAACACAACCCAGAGATTCAGGAATAGCAGTCGATCGAAGACCCTTTTCAACTGACACAGGCATTAAACAGAGCGCTTATTTACGAAAACAGTCTCTGGAATCATAAAGTAAAATATTTTCTCATTAACTATCAACGTTCGTCTATGAAAAATAAATGGAACCATGTGTAAAAGTCGCGTGTGTTCGAAAGAATTTTTATGAATTTTTATTACTTCATTATGGTTTATGTTTCAAATTTTCGCATTGCATTTGGTTTGGTAAAAAATTAAAGTGTAATATAAAACATTATGTAAATACACGAGTTATTTTAGTCTTATTATATATATCATTTTTTTAATAAAATATATTTTTTCCATTCAGATTTTGCGAAAGGAAATAAAGAAAAAAATGTTACCGAAGTAATTATAAAAAATTATCATTATAAAATAAAAAATAAATTATGAAAAATTGAGCAACATTAATATCGTTTTTATTAAATGTAAATATATCTCACTTTCTCGGTGAAAGTTTTTATAAATTTTGTAGAAATTCTCGAGAAAATACGAACAGTTAAAAGTGAAATACGAAAGTGCATTGTAATGTGAACGATGAAGGAAACTGTCAGCGAGTGGTTATCAGAAACATGATGGTTATAAGGCTCACAAGAGAGCATACAATTCCGGATAATATCAAAGGACCTTCATAGAAGAAATACAACAAGCAAAAGGGAGATCGTAGAACATCAAAGGAAAGCAAGCGAATTGCGAGGATGGAACGTAAAGCAATCTCTAGTTATTTGTGCCTTCTGCTGGTGAAGCGTTTCTCACAGACTTTCGCGGATTCGCGCTTCTGATAGTCGCTGAAATGGTCGCGAAAATGGCAGAAAGAAAAGAAAAAAAATGAATCGTGCCAAGTCGGAAGGAATTTGCGTTGCGGTGCTTCGAATCCGACAACGAAATGTTTTATCGTAAATATTAGGTGTTGGAATTAATTCGTAGCGTTTTACAAGTGATGGGAAGTACTTTCATTAATGTATTTTTTAATGCTCATGTGAAATAAATAACATTCTTTCATTAAAAAACGCTACGAATTAATTCCAACACCTAATATATTCATACCTTTTATTTCAATTACGAAAATAAACCAGGTTGAGTTCAGCAAAGCTAGAAAGCTTGCATAAATTTAATATTTGCAACTAAGATTTGATGCAACGAAAATATTATGTTTGTAAACAATTATCAGTATATAATAATTCAGTTCTTTGCTACAATGAAAATTGCCAATGTAATAAGTTTTCTCCATTATAACAGCAAAAATATGCATCTTTAGATATCATGTTTTGTTAAAAATGTTAATCTATATATTGGACTGATTTTCTATAATAGCTAATTTTATTCAGCTGTACAACTTTGCTAATTTAATATAAAAAATGGCTGTGTTACAGCTGTAGATTTGAATCAGTGAAGTTTTTAGTTGTTTTAACAAACTTTCTTTCCGTGTATATAAAATGAGGACAATTTTTTACTATTACAGTTATTTATCGCATAAACGTGGATCAATTTAATCTTTTCAATAGTTTCATGATAACGTCGAATTACGACTTGATCGATTAAACGCGCGTGATTTAAGCAAGAATCAGTCCAGCTGCTTTTGGCGTTTTACATCTCAGAATTTCTCGTATCGGAGGACATTTCGTGCATTCGAAGAACCGTCATATTCTCGTTTCGATAGAAAATGGCTTTGCTCAATTTCACGGCACATAATCTAGGTTACACAAGATGGAACTTTCCGTCCTGCGTCACTTCCGACTTTGACGGCGTATTTGGCGAAGATCGTCGTCAATCGCATATCAACGACGAATCGCATGGACGTGCGGTAAACAGTTTCAGCTGATATCTCTTTTTCCGTTGTCAGCTGTCCGTTTTTCCACCGCCTGGCCGGAACGATTTCCTGTTACCGTTGCGCAATAGTCAGCGCTCTAAAGCTAAGAGGATCTAAATCCGCGAATGGCGAGTCTGCCAACTGTCCTTTTTTTCGGTCGCGAATAGACGACGCGCGATGCACGCGAATTTAGCCACTAAGAGCCAATTGGCGAAAGCACGATGTTTACGGAGTTTCCGCACCGGAAATGCTCAAGATCGCGATAGAGAAGCTTAGCCTAGAAATCCTCTTGAATGAATTGATGGCGCCTCGACTTGAAAGAGACATTCCTTAAACGTGCCTTAACGGTGCTCAAGCAAATATTTTTATCTTAAAAAAATAAAAATAAATCCTCCTGATTACTAAGAGAAACATTTCAAAGAGGAAATACATTTAACAGCATATTTCTCTTCGCGTTTTTTAAATTTTTGGATTATTTTAAAAATAGTAGTATTGGACACACACATGTACAATAGATTTTCGATGCATTAGAGAAGATAGCATTTTCCTGATCTCCGATGTAATGTTATTCCGTCCGCATGCTTGGTCGCCAGAATCTCGTTTGTAATAACAGGGTACACCGCATGTAAGCGAGATTGAGACTTGGAGAGGCTGTGTGACGCGTCTCTATTTCATATATCCCTTCATATGACAATGCTCAATATTTTTATTCCGTGAAATCGTTCGCGTTTTGTTTACTAAAGCGAGTTGTTTACTCACGTATTCGTTCGTGCTCGTTCGCTTCATCTAATTTGAAAAAAAAAATATATTTGTTTAAACAATAATTCGAATTAATCAAGATATAATCTAATTAATCATTATTTTTATAATATTACATTATAATATAATACATAAAAAAAAATTAAATCTTAATATATATTTCTTTGAATAGTACTAATTATAAGTAAACATTTAATTACAGTAAATAAATGTTTACGTTTAATAAATATTACTTAGGACTATTCAAATAAATATGTATTAAAACTTAGTACTTCATTTCAATGTAATATAATAATATAATATAATATTTTTATATTAGGTGTTGGAATTAATAAAACGCTACGAATTAATTCCAACACCTAATATTATATTATATACTATAGTTTGATATATTAAATGTTCCTCTCTGCAGTTTGGACGCGAGAAACGGTAGCTTGATTAGCGCCATTCACTGGGCGGTCAGCGACGATCTCGGAAGACGAACATACTTCCAGGTTGGCGATGGTCATCGAGCGAAATTAAAAGTCACCAAAGTGACGTTGAAAGACCAGGGAGTCTTCAGGTGTAGAGTGGACTTCGTGGACTCTCCGACGCGAAACTTTCGCGTGAACTTGACTCTAGTTGGTAACTATCGCGTTTCAAAAGTTACAAGAGAGTGATGAAACATTCGTTATACCATCGCGTTTGACTCTTTTAGAACAGCCAAGTAAGCCTGTGATATATGATGCCCAAGGACGAGAGGTGACGGGAGTGGGTGGTCCCTTTCTCGAGGGTTACAATCTTGCTTTGATATGTCAAGTGGCTGGAGGTAAAGTCTCATCTTCTTAAGTTTTATAACGCATATTTGTGCATCAATATTTTCTGTCATTATTCAATGCGTGTAAAAGTTATCATTGTTATTAAATTGGCTGCGTTTAACAGAAAAAGCTTGCAATAGTTGTAAGATTCTTTGAGGATGTTCTGGCTATACTTAACGAAAAGTCAAAAAATCAGTCAACCTTCTCTCTATATACAGGGTTGTAAACACATCCCAGGCTAATAAAAAGTTAAGGAATAGAAAATTTGCAAAGTTTTCGTTGGAAATTTATTCTTAAAATATATAACTTTTTGGATATATAACTTTAATCTTTAATTCCTTGCTAGATCTAAATATATAAACCAACCATGAATGACTGTATTCAGGAGAATATTTATTTTGCAACGCGTTTATTGATTTTGTAAAGCACTTATTGAACGCTGACTTTTGCTGAATGTGGCCATTATATCAGCTTGCAAGTAATATTCGTGCAAATCGTATTGAGAGTCGATTGATAAAAAAACCATGTGTGTGATTGATTCACAGGTAAACCTAAGCCCTCGGTGACATGGTGGAAGGACGGTGAGCTCCTGGATGGCGTAGTCGATACTTCATCTATCGGCTCGTCGAGCAGATTTACAGAGAATCACTTGTTCATCGACACAGTCACTAGATCACTGTGGGGAGCGAAACTCGAATGCAGGGCTCAATCCGGACCAATGGAGAAACCTATCGTTCGTGAAGTGCCTCTTGACATTTATCGTAAGTATCGCATCTTATTCAAAGGGAAATTTAGATAATTTTGAACGGTTAGATAATTTTAAAGAAATTAAAATTTCAAGAATATTTTAAAAGACAACACGTGATTATATTTTCAAGCTGATTTCTAATTATGATTCTGATTATACGAGCTCGTAAATCTTTTGGCGATCATGCCCTATCGAGGATTTCGACTCGAGGATCTTCCGACATTTTTTCATGTTCAAGCGATGAAATGCAAATGGTGACGTTACTAGGAAATGGATCATAAATGCCGCGTTAACGTGACAGCTGCTTAAAATAAAATCGAAGAAATACACACATACACACGAACACACACTTCAAGGCCGTTCACTAAATCCTAAGCACGTGCTAAAAGGCAGTCTCAAGCGGCGCGTGTTAAAGGGCACTCTTGGCACGTTTTATTCGATCGACACATTGCGCTTCCGTTCCTACGCCTTCCTCTCGTATTTATTTTTAGGTCGAGCTAAACAGGAAAATCGTAACACTTTGCATCTACGAGAGGCACAGGGAAAACACTTGTTGCAATCTCCTCGGAGAAGGATGGTGTTCGAATCTAAACACTATGCTTACATTTGAAGATGTTATAAAAAGAGCAAATTATAGTAGTTTAAATAAAGATAAATTATTTTTTGCCATTTTCAATTATTCAATGAAATATGGAGAAATTATTTAATATAATATAATTTTCCATTTAATTACCCTAGTTTTTTCATCCTTTCAAAATTCTTTTGCACCCCGAAATATTTCATAGCAAAGAAAGAAATTTAAATATAGTTGCGAGCAATTGACCCGCAGCGGAAGCGAAATGAATTCCAACCATTTCGCGTGGATCTCCTTAATTCCTTTGACGGTCGTATTTCGCAGAAATTGTCGTCCAAAAGTAAAAATATACGGTTCGGGTCGGCGGGCATCTGGCCCTCCCTTGGACCGTTATTTTCGTGGCGCAATGCCGACGAGGATCTTGACTCGCTTATAGTTTTTTGCATCCCGCAGGAATCATCCGTCGTGCCTACATCCGCAGATGTAAATTTTTGACGGCGAAGTATGTTACTTGTTAGACTTCCACATGCTGCTTGCCTTTGTGTCTTCTTATATTAGAAATCTAAAGTCGATCAAGAAGATACTAACAAAGATACCAGCACGGAACATCATAGAAATGAGATTTTCAAATAACTTAATTCTTTGGTGTTTCGAGTATCTCACTTACAACCAGCTTTCTTTTTCCATTGCTTATAACTTTTTTATTAATTAAGATACACTTGCTTGGTACTGTTAATGTTTGAAATTTTGATTGAAACAAATTTTTTACAATATTTTCATTTTTACGAAAGTTATAAGCAATCAAATTAGATTGGATATGTCATACCCAAATATTTCATTCCTATAATGTAGCAGTGAAGGATTAGTATTTTCGCAAAATAAGTGAAAAGCACCTTATTCGTTCAAGACGGATCTAATAATATGCGTAATATTTTCACATGAATTTATACAATTTTCCCATTTATGCAAACTGCGCGCCAAATATTTGTTAATTTTGAAATACAATCTCAAATTGAGATTGAAGTCGTAATATCACGAATTATATTGATATAGCTACAATTTTTTTTTTAATACAATAATACTAATACTTAATATTTTTCCGCATAATGAAATATTTTACTATCAACTCCTATCATATTTCAGTTAAACCAGCAATCGTGAAGATTGTTTTGAGCGAGGAACAAATTTTTGCTGGTCGTCCAATCGCTGCCAGATGCGAGACGTGGGGTAGTTCTCCAGCGGCTAGGATCATTTGGAGACTCGGCGAACACGTAATGAGCGATCCCAACGTATCCACCACACAAAGGAGTAATTCGACAGTAAGCAAGGTAGCTTTAGTCCTTGGCAAGGATGACGATGGCAAGGAACTAGTCTGCCGGGCTGAAAATCCAAGATTTCCCGGAGGAGTGCTTGAAGAAATTAAAATACTTCGCATCTCTTGTGAGTCTTCTTATGATTTTCGAATTACAATAAACTTTTCTCGATAAATGTACAATATCGAATGTATAAACGTATCCAAGAATTTCTTAAATATATTATTTATAAAATTTTAGTAAAACAGCAAATGCCATAAAAAATACTTTTTAAAGAATCTGTCTTTTATATTTAAATTCTCTATTAAATATTCGTTGCGAAATCAAGTACTATAATAAATAATGACGCAATCTCTCCAATTACGAAAAAAAAAAACAGATGCTCCAGTAGTTGTCGCTCGTTTGGCTAATGGCTACATCTTGGACACTTTGAGGGAGGGCGACGATCTCAAGTTGGTCTGTGACGTTCAGAGCAATCCGCCACCGACACAAGTGACTTGGTACCACAATGTAAGTAAAAAGAGAAGAAGGAAAAAAAGAGACTCATAATCCAACATAATTGATCGTTACTCAAATCCTTGTTCTTAGAATCAGCGGCTGGAGCACGACGTAAGCGCCGGAATTCTGCTTCCTGCTTAGCCATGAACGCTGTGGGAGAAACTCACAGCCCGCCGCTTTTTATTCACATGAAATGTGAGTAGTCATTATATTTATTAACATACCGCGCGAGACTTACTTTCGTAAAAAAAAACTATTCTTGCGTCTTAGACAGCAATGTCCATTGATAAACTAAATTAGTTATGTCAAGATGGTCTGATTTGATTTAAATATTCGTTTGTAAGTTTGCTGGAGATTTGATAAGTTTAAAAAAATTAATTGATTATTTTGATTAGAATATCTCGCAATGGAAATATTAAACTAAGCTAAAACAATCTTACAAACTAAAAATAATTAATAAGTACATGTAGTATCATATTAATTAATTTTACATATTTATATTAATACTTATATTAATACTAATAATTCAATAAATTAACACTTAATATTTTTGTGTAGGATTTGCGTGCTTTTCTTATGTTTTTGCTAACAATGTCAAATATTTGACAGACGCACCGAGATGCAGAGAAGATAACGAGAGAAGAGAGATCACTGTTGCTCGACACGAGACGGTATTGCTCAAATGCGAGGTGGAAGCATTGCCTGACGACTATGTACGATTTTCATGGACTTACAATGGCACTGTTGGCGATGTTCTACCTATGCCAAACTCGAGAGTCGAAAATAAAGGGCTCGTGAGCATGCTAGAATACACCCCTAACACCGAAACTGATTACGGTACGTTGGCTTGCTGGGCGAGCAACGGCATTGGACGGCAAAGGACACCCTGTATATTTAACATCGTACCTGCTAGTGAGTTATCAGCCATTAATTACGTCATCTTCTCGCGCCTTTATTAACATTCAGTAATGAAAGAAGTTATACGTCTCCGAATAAAAATAAAACTTGAATAATTAAAATGTAAATTTTTTATCTGCGAATTTTTAAAGTCTGTTTAATCTTTAAATGGAGGTTTATTTTCTTTAATTTTACAGCTTTTCCTTGAGTAAGATTTGTTATAATTTATTGTTTCATTATATTTATTACCTCAAAATAAGACAGTTTTAGTACTATAATGGCTTTTCCAGCCTATAAAAGTTAAAAGAGTTACATCTTCATTGCGACTTAAATGCCAATTTTTTTTTATCGCTCAGAACCACCGCAACCACCATTGAACTGTGCGTTGCACAATGAGACCAGCTCGCTGGAGGTTAATTGCATCCCAGGATCGGACGGCGGGTCGCCGCAACACTTTTTGTTGGAAGTACGAGGGTCTCTCAGGAGTTCTGGGATCGGCCATATCGGAACTCACACCCTTCAAACGCCTCAGAGCGATCAAGGAATGGTCGGGGAATCTCCACCTATATATCAAGACATGAATCCGACTCCGAATTTTCAGCTTCATGATCTTGAACCAGGCTACGATTACACGGTATATATTTACGCCATCAACGGACGTGGCATGAGCGAACCCGCTCTTTTGGAACACATTAGGGTCGTCGAACCTATCGGTGGAAAGATGGAGAGAAGCGGGATTTTTTTGGAAGATCTGAAAAAGGCGCTACCGCAGGCGAGCTCCGAAAACATGATCATCGCTATTGCACTGGCAGGCACAGGTAAAATCGATGCTCGTGGTTTTTTTAATTTCGCCTAATTTCTCCTAATTATTTTGAAAGTTTAATTTTCCACGAATAAATTTAAATGGAAATAAAAAATCGTTTTTTTGCGCTTTCTAAATTTTTGTATTTAAAAATTTTATTACTTTTATTTTATATAATATTATAATCAAAAGATACAGTAGCATTTTTTTCGCATACTAGAAAAAAGCTATTTCTGAAAGCAAAAGTTTGTAACACATTTATGAATTTTTATATTTTAAATTCCTATTATACACCGTAATATTTTAATTAATTTTCTTTAATTATATAATCTATTAAAAAATATAGACTAATAAATTTTATATTTATTCTCCTTACATAATGCAACTCTAAATTTAAAGGTGCGATAGCGTTGATCCTTATCGGTATTGGAGTGATCATCGGTGTGGTGATCTGCAGGAAAAGATCGAATACTCCTGCTATAGAAGGCCCCGACGATTTTACTACACCGACCTACGTTCCAGCCCAGAGAATTGAACCTAGAATCAGATATTCCAACGAGAATAGACGTTCTCAAAGGGCGAGTCTCTACGTTGAAGAAAATCGAAAAGGTAACTATCATAATAGAAAACAGCAAATTTGTATGCTGCCCGAGTTCAAATAATTTCTAAATTATTTAATCTTCTTTCAGAACCAGATTTATTACATCGAGTGGAGCTTGACTTGCAAGAATAAATCACGTGATTCTGTACAGACACTAATAATCAAGACGAAAAGTGCAATGTTAAATAAAATTCCATACACTACAAAAAAAGGATTGGCTGCTGCAGCAAATTAGATGGTAAAATATGGCATAGCATTTTTAATTAGTTGCTGCAACCAAAAATTGGCTGCTACAGCCAATTAAAAATGCTATGCCATATTTTACCATCTCATTTGCTGCAGCAGGCAATCTTTTTTTTTCAGTGTAGAATTGCCCCTCGATATTCGCATAAATTTGTATATTCCGTATTTCGAATTTATATTATGTCATAAAACTGGAAGCATCGTGATTATCGTTTATAATGAGTAGCTGTTGGATATGCAAATCGTTTATTTGACTCGAAGGATTAGCGATGGAGCGCCACGGATACTTTTTACGATTGAATCGGAAAATTTGCCGGTCTTCAACGCGAATCGAGGTGTTACAAAACATTCTATTAGTTATTTATGTTCGCCTTACATAAAACGTAAAAGATTCGCAGTCGAAATTTTTACGTTAGATTGTATAGAGCGTAGAGTTATAATAACATTACAAAATGTACAGCTATTTTTACAGCGTAGGAGACTAAGGCGTACGTATACTTGCAAGTATTAACGTATTAATTGTCGACCTAAAAACGTGATTTTATGTACCTTTGTCGCTTAATAGAGACTGCTCCAAAAAGACGTCAACTTTTAATATAAATTTGGATTGTTTGAAATTTTTACAAATTTTAATCGCGCATACTTGACGAATTTTTAGTTCATCCAATTATGAATGCAAATTTGTTGTACTTACTTACATCATGCTTTGTGTTTTATTAATTAATGCAATCGATTTATATTTCAGACTTAAACTTTTTTTGAAGCAGTCAGTAGTTTATAAATTATTATTAATTATGATTAATTTGTATAATTTTTGATCAGCGTAGTTCACGCTATTCCATATGTAAATATTGTACTCGTATTGATTGATAAAATTAAAAAAATAATAAACTATCATGTTGTATTATTAGTGATTAATAAAATTAAAAAGACTATCATAAAAATATTTCCTTTACCTTCCTTTATTCTTCGTGAAATAGAGAAAGAGAGAGAGAAAATTTATTGATATTCCAATTATTTTGTGAAGTAACAATATAATAATCTTTAATTGTTAATAATATATATATATTTTTTTTATTACGTAACAGCATATATAACAAACGCATTAAAATTATCATTGAAATAATTTTATTGCTAGTGTAATTTGTTAATTATTAGCGACAATAAACTTGCTCCAACTGGCTAATGATTTAATTATCATATTTCGCAAACGGATCTGGTTTTATAATCGATTATATTGCCAAAATATAATACTCTACGATAAATGAATTGGCATTTAATATGTCGTGATTTGACGTGACAATTGAATTGCAGAATCGAGCATTTTCCAACTTCCGCAAATTATTGCAATTATTATACATTCATTTCAATATGCAATACATTAACTTTAATCTCGGTTTAATTTACTCTTTATCTTTTTCTAATTCTTAAAATTAGAAAAAGATACAAAGCGAATTAAATCAAGATTAAATAAATAGATTGATCTACATTGATAGAAATGGACATTACAGAGATATTATACATATAATGAATCCTAAGTGTCGATAAAGAAACTTCTTGTACATTTTTCAAAATATGGAAGACATTAACAGACATTGCCTGTTAATTCCAATCAGAGAGAAAAGATAGGTCTGAAGCGTTATAGATAATAAAAGTACATTAACATATAAAAAGTAAATTAACATTAAAATGCTGCTTCCTATTTGAAAGCCAAAGCGTGTCCTATGTTATCAGCTATCAGTATAGCAATTGGTACATCTCTGTGTAATCACGTTTGATAGCGCCACATGTGCAAAGAAGCAATCTACATATTAGTCTCTATCTGTAAAGCAATTACAAAATAAATTATTAAACTTTTTCCACTTTGTCGATATTAATATAATATTAAATTTAAAAAATAATCTATTTTTATTTAAAACTCTAATACCCACTTTTCTTTCGGTCATAACATTTAGAAATTTTAGAATATTGATATTATCATTTTATAAATTGTAATACGATATCATAGGTACTTCAGAAGAATTTTAACGCAGTATTGACGTCACGATTGCAGCATATTGCGACGATATCGACTTATGCATGTTCGTTTTATATTCGCGACGAGATCGAACACTTTTCCATGAATACCAACAATCCATTAATGAAAACTTCATCAACGTCGGAATAATTATGTCGCTGCACACGACAGCTGTCCCATTTCCGCAAATTGCCTAGCAGCGGTTGTGATTTAGAGCCATGAATTAAATATTGTGCAATATATATATATATATATATATATATATATATATATATATATATATATATAGAGAGAGAGAGAGAGAGAGAGAGAGACACGTTATAATCCTTCACGAAACGCGATAGAACACTTTCGCTCGCGTGTATTAGACATATAAGATATGTCGACAAATTGAATTACCTGAATTAATGTTAAAATTTAATTATTGTTGAGGCTATTAATGTAAGATTATTAAAATAATTGTAAGTTTTATATCAATAATTATAGCTACACTGACCCACGAGTATAATGTAGTAAAGGACATTCGTTACTCTCGATTATAAAGGTAGAACAGGACAAATAAATTTTACTACAACGAATAATGAAATAAATATGATTTAAAAATAGCGGTAATGTTGCCTTCGTCTGAGTATACAATTTGCGAAAAATGTACACAATAAACTTCACAAATGTGAGAGCCAAATTAAAAAATATATGAATATCAACATCACGTAATTAAAGCTAACTATACACTGTTAAATTCATAACGTCAAATTATATCCAATTTGAATTATTTTTAATCATTTTTATAGGTCGCCACTGTTTGTACCCAATATATTATTAATTTTACTAAAACAATGGTGTTAAAAAATTTAATTCAAGAAAATATATTAAATTAAATTTAAGTTTATTATTTACTAAATACATACACAACATACATTAATGAACGATGTTTACTCTAAAGCTAACCACAGAAATGAATTGATTTACACACATAGAAAAATAACAAAATGTTATTTATCTCAAGGGATTAGATTACTATTGCTCCTTTAACATTTAATAGTGTATAAAAAAATGTTTTGTTATATTTTTATAAATTCAGCGAGCACGAGTATGTATTATTCGTGTATGGGATGTAGAAAAATAAATGATTGTTATTATTCCGAAATCGTTATATTATCATCATGTTTATATGACACACTTAAATGGAGCAATCGACGATACAAGTCGGGAAACGAGTAGCGCTGCTATAAATGTACACGCGTAATGAAGAAGCAGCCGACGTGCACCATACGTTGAATGCAATTGCGCATTACGCAACGTAGCGCAAAGCGCGACGGGACCGGGGCAGATAATTAGATTATACTTTGCAGTGCACGTTGGGACCGAACATTATCGTTATCGTCATGGGAGATGACGGCTGGTGTACGTCGCGAATAATCCCTGTTATTTTCAGTACCGCCGGCAATTCGTCCGACGTTATACTGAGTGCTTGTAAAATTAAAATCCCTGCTGTTAAGAGCACTTGGTGTTATCATATAAGTAGAGATATGGCAAAATATATGAGGAGAAAAGATATTTTTGAGATAAAAAGATTAAATAATTCTCTTCACATTGATTTATTGCATTAATATCTGCGAAAAATGAAACAAAGAGTTGAGATAAATAAAAAACATTACTGTATGTACAGTTAATTACGTATATTAAGGCACGCCTTCAATTGTGAGATAATGAAGAAAATTCTATACGTCTACGGAAAGAATGCTGAAGTATCTTAAAATTTAGCTAAATCTGAAAATAATTTTATTGATCTATCAAAATAATTATATAGAATGCTTAAACTGATTGTTAGAATGTCAAAATTTTTTACAGCATTGCTCATCATGTTTGAATTTCTTACATAATTATTTTGATAATTCTTTTCACGCCTATATCTAACTAAATTGTTAGATATAGGCATTAATTCAACAAAATTATTCTTACCGTGTATACGTGTGAGATTTTATAACGTACAGCGTTAAATTCTGTTTAAACTTAGAAAACTATAATTTGGTATATAAATAAAGATACAATAACTTTTATAGTTAAATAAAAATGCTAAATTATGCACTTAACACTTTATTAACACTTAACATTTTATCTCAAAATTATCGATGTAGAAATGATAGAGATTGAGAGACTTTGTTAGACTTTCCAGACATATTACAAGTTACCTTGACTAATTTTAACAGTACCGTTTAACATGATGTTTACGCAAACTGTCTAATTGTCGTCATGTTTCAGTCCACAGATCCTTGTTTAACAAACAAATTTATTTGATGGATGAGCAAGAGAGACGCTTGAGTAAAGTGAAAGTTTGCATAACAATTTTATTTGAATAATCTGCCAAGTATAATATAGTATATACAAGGCTGGGTCAAGATGGATAAGCGGTTTTGAGTGTTGTTGGACAAAATCGCACGCAAGTAACACGAATTGTCGGAAGATTCGACGGAAGGGAAAATAGGGGATTCTTTTCTCGATGCTATTCAACCATCGTCTTCTTTCTCAAGAGATTGAACAAGAGTGCTGAATCGCGCCGAATGTCTGGGCAAAGGAAGCGTAGCGCCGCGGGGATTCGCAAATTCACCGTGAAATCTTCCGCAAACGGAAGTAAGGTAACTCATTTCCGTTTCATCGGGACTTTCTGTGGACCATTAAAAGAGCTCGTCTTGGGTGGAAAAGGGACGCGAGGGGTCAAACCGAAAAGCGAGCAAAGAAACCGACGGATTAATTAACGTAACGTAATTACGGCGCGCATTGTGCAGCACGTCGCAACGCTTCGGGGTTGCGGATGAAAGGATCAGAAAACTTCAACCCTTTTCATCTCTTTACGGTTTCCAATGTCTCGCGAATACATCTTTATTTTTTATTTGAAAACGCAAAAGTGCTTAATGTAATTCTAAACTTATTCAATATTATTTACTTTTAATTTAATGACATTTAATTACTCAAAATCAACTCT